CCAACTTCACCACTAAAATTAAGGAAATTAAACTAAAATTTTAAATTCTTCTATTTTTCCTTTTTATTTTACAATGTCATATTAGTTATGAAAAAAATGCATTTCAAAATTTTCTACTATGAGAAGCTTCCATACGGATCGTAGAAGCTTTTATAGTTTAAGAAAATAATTTTTGTTACTAAAAGTTTTTTATTATTTCAAAGATAAATCTTGACAAAATCTCTTCATCTTTTTTGAAAATTGTATTATATCTTATTACTACTCAATATAACCTATTTGTTAGAACTAAATCAATGCTTATTAACTTCTTTCTTCAGTAGATATATTTTAGTATTTAAGAAAAGTTGGTAGACAGTAACAAAGTATATTTTTCTTTTACAGATATGTCTTGATAATCTAACTTCGTCTCTTAATTTGCTAGCCTGAGTCCAACGGCAAAAATTCCTTTTTAGTTTTTTATCTCTCAATTTTTTTCATTTATTTGAGATACAATCATTTATTTGATTGCATTTAAAAAAATATATCACTTAAACTTTCCCCTTGTCTTTCAAACAAATGCTTTTTTCTTTTTCTTATTTTTGCTGAAATTGTATTCACAAATTTCTCTATGATAACGTTTTTGAAGTTAAAACAGTTTTAATGTATTCGTACATATGTAAAAAGCCAGTTTTTCGGTTTTTCTATCTTTTTGAATAGTTAATAATTCAAATAGAGGTATCCTCCAAAAAAATTTAATTCAAATAGAGGTCAGTAATATCTATTGTGTTTCTCTTTATTACTCGTTAGAAGTTAAAATTTTACAATGTGTTGAAAAATTCTTTTCTTCACTCGGCATAATTAATAAATATGATAGTCATGTTTTGGTAAATAAAAGATCTTCTTTTAGCCACCCTTTTCTCCAACTTGGATATTTAGTTTACTCAATACATGACATCTCTTTTTTTTTTTTTTTTATCTGTTTTGATTTGATATAAACAAATGTCCCATGAATATTAGTCTTAGTAGAGAAACCACAATAAGTCACCATTAGATTTTATAAATTCATAATTGTATATCATCAACTCGCGATAAATAGTATCTTTTAATATGAATTAATGCTTTAATTGAGATTTTTAGAATGAATTCATGTACAATTATTCTCATTAAGAAAAACTTATTTATATAATATCAAGATCTGTCATTTGGTACATGGATCAAATATATTACAAGATCTTGAGATAAGGAATCCAACTTATTGCATTTTATATAACTTCTATACATTTATAAATGTGTGCCTATTTGCAACTCTTTCATTTCAATCCCTTGAAAAATTGAAGTGATGTGAATTTTGTATTAATTTTTATGCTGAATGTAATGCCTTTATCCTCTATTTTGTATTTTCACCATTTTCATATATTATTTATTAGTTAAATATTACCATTTATTAGTTTATTCTCTATTTTCCTTGAGATTATACAAAACAAAATACAAAAATCTAAAATATTTGCTTAGAACCATTCACTTACTTTAAAATTTGTATCAGATATTAAGTAGTTGAAACATTAGATATTAGAAATTGTCTAGTAAGCATCCGACTCCACTTTATTTGTTATTGTCAGAAGCAATACCCTTTTTTTTGTAATATTCTGTAAATTAATTAGCTGACCTACTCCAAACTCTGTTATTCATTTAAATCGCATAGAATATAACTAATGTATCATATTATAATATTAAAGTGTAATGTAATATATATAAGCAAACGTAGACTACACTAAATATTCAAGAATTCGATACCAAGAAATTGACATCTCAAAAAATAAATTAATTTGGATAACGTATGAAATTATGTAATTCTTCAACTTAAACCCGACACTATTTGTCAATTAAGAAAAAACGAGTAGCAATAACAATAGAACAAGTAATTCAATTCGCTTTAACACTAAACATTCACAATAATATTTTCCCATATATTAATGCAATAAGATATTGGTTTTAAAAGCTCATCAAAAATAGTTAGCATCATAATATAGTGGGCATTCCGTGAGTAAATTTTATGAATGGTCATTCAATTTTGTATTCATTACCCCAAAGTCACTTTTTTTGTTACGTAAAAGTCATTTAATTTTGTGTTCATTACCCAAAAATAACTTTTCTTTCTTTAATTACACAAAAAATATTTTACTATGCTCTGGTTATCATAATAGTCACTTTGCTTAGATTTTACAGACCTTTCACCTGAAAAGTCTATTATGTCCTTGACATTATAAATCCTCTCATTTATGCAACACTTTCTATATTATATGCTATATAATATACTTTTACCCAGGTATTTTACTTATAATTAAAATAGCTTAATATTATTTTATTTATTATTTTTATAATATATTTGCACAATTAATTTTTTCTTAATATTAATTTTTAAGATATATAAGTAGCATTATTAAATTTGTCGGTAACATTGTCGTGAACAAATCTCAAGTCCACATTCTTAACCATGCTTAATGAAATATTTTTAATGAAAATTATAAAATCAAAGCTCACTGATTTATCAGCCAAACCATACCCATTAATTCAATAAATAAAATACTTACATTTAGGACAATGACACATCAAATTAATACTTTCAAATAAATAATATTAACGGATAAAGCTTTAAAAAACTTAATATTAAACACGAATATCTTTGAAACTTTTTCTAAAATTCTTATTAACTACAATTAAAGTTATCATTTGTTAAAAAATCTATTTTTATTATTTCAATTAAATATTAAAAGATAAATATTTTTATTATTTTTATATTTAAAATATGTTCATGCTTGAATATGATTAAACAAATTGAGGGCCATGGAAAAAATTAAATGTGTGGATATATTATAAAAATAATAAATAAAATATAAAGTTATTTTAATTATAAGTAAAATACCTAGGTAAAAATATATTAAACAATATAAGTATATAATATAGAAGATATTACATAAATGAGAGGATTTATAATGTCAATGGCATAATAGACTTTTCAAGTAAAAGTATTATAAAATTTGGCCAATGTGACTTTTGTAATAAATAAAGCAAAATAAAATAATTTTTGTGTAACAAAAGAAAGAAAAATGACTTTTGAGTAATGAATACAAAGTTGAATGATTTTTACGTAACAAAAAGAAGAAAAACGACTTTTGCGTAATGAACACAAAGTTGAATGACCACCCAGGAAAATTACTCGCGTTCAGTTGTCATGAAAAAGCATTGAATGTCTAATTATACATGTCGGATCCACTTAATTTGTTATAGTTAGTGCTTTAACAGGAAAGAGAAACACGAGTGATTTTATGGTGTGACTCACACAACTGATATTAGTTGTCTGAGGTCTTTTTTATTTAATATATTTATGGACTCATATCTTATATATTTGGTTCCACAAAATTTTGGGATCACAAAATTATGAGATAAAAAAGAAACCCCGCACAATTAATGTCAGTTGTGTGTGTGTGAGGGGCTTAGGCACAAAGTAAAATTTGTCGAGAAACACATGTGTATCGGAACTTCAATAAGTTGCAAATTGATAGCAACGTGTAGAATAAACAGCCAGATGAGGCCCAGTATTTAAGCCACCAGTGCTGTCAACCAATGGACAAAACTGAGCATAAATAAATATATATGTGAAGATTAGCTAGCTATTAATCAATGCAATGAGAATACACCGTGATAGCTGTTTCTTTTTTCTTTTTCAGCCGATATCCGATACTTATATTGGGGCCCGACTAAGTTCGGATTCGCGCCGAAAAGTCTCACATTGAGGGGTAAAACGCTCTCTAACAAAGACGATTCCATACCCAGGAACTCGAACCCGAGACCTCTGGTTAAGATTAAATGAGTACTTATCACTTCATCATAATCCTCGGTCGTGGAGTGGGCAATAGTGAAAGCCCACCCGCTACCCTCTCAAAATTGAATGCTACTCTTTAGTCTTCAATCAGTTCGGCTGGAATGGATAGAGTTTGTTTCAGTTGACTTGTCGAAATCTTTCAACTACTATTTAATTACTAGTTCTCATCTTTAAAAGTTCAGAAAACACATAATACACGTCATGTACCTATGGATCTAATGGAGTTGACAGTGACGGACCCACGATTTCATCTAGTAGGTTCAAAATACAAAAAAGTAAATATATAAAAACGTCTACAAAATATTTTTTTATTAAAATGATGTAATTTTCTTTACCTAAATTGTATATATATGGACAAAGCGTTCCTAATCTAAAAAAGACAACTTTTATGTTGTATGTACAGAAAAAAAAAGTAAGTGCTGTATATAGTGAAAAAAGAGCACCCAAATGTAGCTGTCTGGTTTCGAACTCGGGACACCCTAGAAAACTCAGTGTATTATAAGTGGGGTCAAAATATTTTATAACAGCGTTATCTGGAAGAAAGGTAAAATATACTTATATATACACATTGTTATTTTTCGACAAAGCGGATTCATATAAACCCTCTTGACCCTACGTGGGTTCGCCCCTGATGGAGTATGAGGAGAACCGTGAGCATGAGGTCTCGGATTTAAATTCCAGTGAAGGCAAAAAACACTAAGTGATTTCTTCTCATATGTCCAAGTCTTGGTGGATAGCGTTACCGGTACTTGTGCTAGTGGAAGATAGCAGGTACTTGATAAAATAGTTAAGGTATGCGCAAAAGGATCCAAACACCACTTTCAACCGTTAAAACACACACACACACACAAAAAACTGGGCATTTAGCGACTAGTGTTGTGAAAATTGGTTTAAAGATGTAGGAAATTGCAAAGCTTTTATCAACTCGTTAGACCCTTGTGTGCTTTCTCCATCGAGGAGTACGTACAATGTATCTAAGTGCGTAATTAGTCCTGAATTTAATTAAAAGAGCATTTGCAAAATGTCTTCCAACAATAAAACAAAACATCCTGAAACAGTAACAAAAAACCAATTTGTTCTCAAATCTAAACACAAGTCAATAAATTCTTCATGGTGCAAAATGCAAATGATGTCTAGGTTTAGCGGAATAACAACGGAATAATTAGACTACGAATAATTTGGGGCGTACAACTAATAATCCGTGCCAAGTTTAGGTTTTTTTAAAGGTATTCTCCCTATGAACATCCTCAGCAAGACAGTTCCAATTTGATAACAATTTCAATTGGAGTGCTAAAAACTTGTATTACATGCTGCTGCAATTATGGCATCAGCGATTTTATATGTTCTATCAAACCTGCTAAATTATGTCATCTGGATAATTTTTCTTGAACGTGAGGTACACCTCATAAAAGATATCTAACCTTCTCAATTGGCCAAACAGGGGAAAATGGAAATCACAGTTTTTTAAACACTATGTAAGCTTCAATGCCTTCTTTGCTTTGCGCGCTTCCATGACTGTGAACCTCTAATCTTCCACTTGTCCACTCCACCTGGCCGATTATGTTCTTCAATCTCGCGAACCTTACGTTTTCTGTGTAGCATATGTGGGTCAGAAGGAACATAGTAAGCAGAACAAAGCATGATATGAGCCAATACTTTCTTCATAATAAAAAGTTACAAGTGAGGTAAAAGTAAAACTGTAGCATTCCTCAACAACTTTAAAAAACCATGCATGTATTATTAATAGAACTCTAGACTGTAGATAGGCAAACTATGTTTTCCCGATTCCTTGTTAACAATAAGTCAATTACCCATGAAAGAATGAGCATGTCCAATGCAATGCAAGCAGGCAAAAAACATAAAATACATAAATTAAGCTCCTAACTAAGATTTACAACTCCAGTTCCCTTGTTCTTAAGCTTAGATCTTTGCTTAGTTTGAGTATTTTCCGAACTCAACTGAAATCACAAAAAGGAGGCTTGAGAGCCTGCAAATAAAGCTCAAATTCTTTATAGTTATCATGCTCCACATATCTTAGTATGGTGATACAGATCAATAAGCTCTGAAGGTGAAATGATGAACAAAAATTGATCAATAGCAAAAGAAGATCTAAGGATTCCCTCATTCTCTGAGTATTCTAATGTTAAGATATCAGCTCCCTCACTGTCTGACGGTTAACTTCGAATTCAGTCCGGCCCCCTTTCACCATAACCCCCATCAATTCAACCCCATTACCCATTTTAAGCAAGCATACCTGCCCGACACACATATTGAGAATGTTTTAGTAATAATGAACATCCTTAGCAAGTTCATTTTTTACTTCTGCGAATTGGTGTTTGAGGATTCTTACTATGCATTCAAAGGTATTGTTCTTTTTTCCTCAGGCTCCTTGAAATTCATTGAGCTGAACTTGACAATTAATCAAAAACTAGAAAAGCTTGAGTTGTTAAACTACTGAGAGAGGGATCCTTTATCACTAGCTGCCAACACTGCTAATTTAGAAGAGGCAGGCAAATTCATTCATTCTAACCTGATTAGACACGTGAATCTCCAGCTCAAAACAATACTGCTAGAGTTCTATTGAACAGACCTGCTAAAGTAGTCGCACAGATCCTTAACTTTTATTTATGTTCATGACTTACCTATACAACCCAAGTTTGCGGTCGGAAAGTAGCTCATCAGTAATTGTCGTCTTTCTCTCCTTCTTAGTCAGTCTGCTTGAGTAGTATTCAGATGCTGGCTCTATTACTGTGCCAACCTGCTCAAATTTCAAACCATCAAAGTCTTGCCTCTTCCCAACAGGAAAATAAGATGTTGATAAAAGTGACTGCATGATAAATAAATAGTTTATGACATAATAGACTTGCCTGGAAATATTTAGGTAGTGCTTTTGACTTCAAATCACTTTTCTTGTAGTGCCTTTTTGGATCCATGGCACCCCTTAACTGAAGCAATCAGATTTTTCAGAATTGAGAACTTAGTCGTAAGAGAAATTACTGCAATTAAATGAGGCATAAAAATGGAAAAACTTGGCAATACATCATATGAAAAAGTGGCCATTATGCATGGTTGGATCTTGATAAGTCCATGTTTGGCACATGTACTCAGGACTGTAACTTCACTACTTGTCAACGGAATCCAAGAAAAATTACAGGTAGAACTAGGATTATCGTATTGTGTTGGAGAACATAAAACTTATATACACCAGATGGAATATAACATTTTTGTCTATTTATGTAGTGTGACGGGATATAACAAATGAATCAGAGATGTCAATTAATACGCCTCTTTAGTCTAAGCTTTTTGGGAATTTGTAAAAGAGAACCATAAAACCAAACTTTTTACACTTTTAAGACCACAAAAATTAGTTAATATGGAACACAAAGCTTGAGAGTGGAGCATCACTAAGTTGCGTTTTTTCTGAAGTATGAGTAGGAGACCATTACACATTCCAATTCTACCTAGCTTACTGATAATGTACAAAGTGTTCAGCGGAAGTAGAGGACTAATCGGCAGCATTGTGAAGTGTACATCTCTATTTTTCTCACTCTCATCTTTACTCAAGGAAATGGTCTATTGATTTTCAACATCTCACAAAACAACTAGGGCTCCTAAGATAGATGAGCCAAGAATTCCCACAGAAATACACTCATCTAAAATGTTTAGCAAATTTGACTATGATTGTTATGAATTAGTTCACAAATTCAAGATCACGTCCTAGACAAGGGACCTTCTTCTTTCTTTTAATAGCAGCAGTAGTAACAAAAAAGTAGCTCCTTCAATATTCTTTAATAAAGTTGTAAACAAAAGCTTAGCCTCATCGTAATCTCTTACATGAAGTGCCAATCACTCCATTTATCTTCTAGAAGAGCGTTTCTTTTGATAAAGTAAGATAATATTATTAAAGCTAGTACCAAGAAGGTGCTTCAAAAGCACAAGGAAAAGTCATACAATGACATTTAGCTTCTAAACGAACGTAAATTCTCCATTCATACATATCTATAAAGTTCACAAGTAACACAAAAACATCAACCTTTCGTCGAGCTATAAAATATGCAAGTAAAAAGAGAGAGACTTTGCAATTTAAAGAATCACCTTTAACAGCTGGAGATCTCTTTTCAGCTCCGGAGTAATTGTTTGTGCAGGCATATCAAACCTAATTAAAAATTTCACAACCAATCCATAACTTTCGTAAGAATTTAAGTTATATACACAGTCAGCGTAAACATTTTTTACACTATCAGGTCACCCAAATAATATCAACAAGCATGGCCCGATGGTGTAAAAATACATTATTGGACAGCGTATGTTAAAGCTACAAAAATTCATGATAATAACTATATTGAAATTTGAGGAACTAAAAATTTGAGATATACCAGTTTTTGCCAGCAGTATCCTTGACTTGTTTTCGTAGAAATTTGTTCACCTTTTTAGGATCATTAGGCGGAACAAATAAGCCGTCAATAAGTTCAGAACTAGGTTTGTATAGTGCACTGGTTTCTGCCTCCTTATTGGAGCTGCTCTTTTTGGTACCAAATGATAATTGAGGTAATTTTGGTTCCCATGAAAGTCCAATTACAGGCTTGTTTTCAGGCATTCTGAATTGCTATGAATTTCAAACTAATGAGTAATGGCTTTAATAAATAAGCAAATTTAACCCTAGAAGAAAGAGATTCTTACCTTCCGTCGCCGGAGATGGGAATAGAGAGGCGGCGGCTATGGACTTATGAGTGAAAGGCCCAAAAGTGAGAAAACCTATTATTGAATGTCTTGTATCTGTATTTAGACAAGTACAATATCACTTTAGTATTTTAAAATTATGTAATAATTAATTTGGAATATTAAGTGGTGCAAGCAACACTAAAATTATATCCGTGTGATCTATACGTTATAGGTTGGAATCGTAGAAATAGCATCACACTCTTAGGACTCGTTTGGTATGAGAGATAAGGGATAATTAATCTTGGGATTAAATTTGAGATGAGTTTATCTCACGTTTGGTTGGATGAAACTGTGGTATAACTAATCTCGGGATTAGTAATTTCGGAGATTGTAGTATTTTTTTATTGCTATAGGATGGTGGATAACTAATTACATGTTTATTAATATTTAAATAATTAATCATGAGATAACTTGTTTTTCAACTAAACGATCACTTAGGGGTGTGGTCCTTCCCAAATCATGCATGAATATGAGATGTTTGGTGCTCTGCCAAATTAATTTGGAATATTTGTTTGAACCATTTTTGTAAATTTAAACCGGACTGTTGAACTTTGAACTATTAAAAATAAAATAGAATTATTGATTTTTATCGAATAATAAACAACCTTAATCACGATTATGTGCTGTCTTTTTCAGGGTATTGTATCTTTTATACTATTTAAACTATTTCTTTTTATGATTGGTACAAGACGTTCTAGAGAAAGGTCACACTTGCGAAAATTTCTTTTTGGTCAAGAAGAAAACTTAATATTATTATTACTTATAATTAAAAAAATAACTCTAGCACAAGAGTTGAAGTGTTTGAAATTTGGAAATAATTACGAGTTAACAAACTCTAAAGTTCAGCAAATTAGCTAGGCATTTTTTCTCTTCTTTACTAGTACTACCTCCGTTCACTTTTAGTTGTTAAATATTCTAACAATAATTTTTTATTTTCACTTGTCACTTTTTGCATATCAATTAATAGGTAAATCAACTGTTTTAGACTCTACATTTGTGGGGGCCCCATTTTTTGTTACACTTAATGAGTTATATATAAGTTTAAAAAAAGTTATGTAAAGTAAAAATGTTTGATTTCTTTCTTTAATAAATATAGAGAAGAAGGATTTGTAGCTGTTATGATTTCTGCCAAGGAAATTGTATTTGAAATGAATAATGAACCCGGATTTCGTAAGAAACATGTGATATATATGAAGAAATAATTTGATGAGAATGTTGATAATAAAATCTCAAAATCTCTCGAAGAGTTCTTTAGAGCTTATTACTTTTTATACATAGTAGAGAAAGCTATATTTTCACTTAAGATAAATTTGAACAATTCGAAGCATATGAAAATATTTTTGATTTTCTATTCAGCGGTAAAAAGTTGAGATCACTATATGCTGGAAATTTGAAAAAATATTGCCTTAATTTTGAATATTCCTTAAAGCATAATAATCAATGATGGTTTCGATTTATTTTCTGAATTAAAAATGTCAAAGAAGTTTAATTTATATACTCAATTAAATAAAAAGGTTTTAAAAATAGCTATGTTGCTTATTGAATAATGTTAATAACTCCTACTACTGTTACTTCAGCGGAAATATTTTTTTTTTCAGAATTAAAATTGATTAAAATCTTAACTAAGATCAACAATGTCTCAAGAAAGGTTACATGAGTTAGCTATTTTGTCAATTGAAAAAGACTTATTAGGAGAAATTAATTATAAGAAAATTATTACTCCCTCCGTTTCAATTTATATGAACTCATTTGACTGGGCACGGAGTTTAAGAAAAGAGAGAAGACTTTTGAATTTGTGACGTAAAATGAGGCACATATATTTTGTGTGGCTATAAATCATTACATAAAGGTAAATTGTTGCCAAATAAGGAAAGAAGTCATTCTTTTTGGCACGGATTAAAAAGGAAATAAGTTCACATAAATTGAAACGGAGTGAGTAATAATTTTGCATCTAAAAAAAAATAGAAAAATAGACTTTAAATAAAAATATAATAACTTTTTTTTAAAGAAAAGTTAAGGCCCCTCGTAAAGTTTGGCTTTATGCCACAAAATTTGTCAGGCCGTCCCTGAATAATGGACAAGTAAAAGTGAACGGAGGGAGTAGTACTTTTATTGGATGAATTGTTTAACAAAACTAAGCAGATCTTATCAATATAACTCTCCTATTTCTTGGCATAAATTGACATTTTAATTTGAGAATAATAGTTTTTAAAAAAGTCTCCTTTTATGCAATGTTCCAATTGGTAAGTTGCCTAGAGATAATCTTAATAAATAACTAAAAAAGGTGAAGAGTAATAGGTATAAAGCAGGAATTTATTGGTTTGTAGAGGAGCATATGTTTAACGAATTATTTGGCATTTTTATTTATTGAAATTATCATAACGTAAATTCATGTTAGTCGGCCTCGAAGCGAATATTGAATATAGATAGAAAACTAAAAAAACAAATAAATTTTATTATTATTTCATTGTACGTTGACATTAGGAATCAATAAATAAAAAAATCAAGTTTTTATTTCTCAACGTTTTAACACATTAAAAAAAGCAGCAAGCTACATCGGGATGCATTAAATGCCATTTCTAAGGCCTTTTACTTAATACAGACTTAAAAATGCATTAAATTTTCTTTCCAATTTTTTAAATTCTTATTTCAATATCCCAAGTTACCATTAAATTTTAGTTCACTAACAAAGGCTTTTCTATACGACTATACCCACCAGAAAACTATTTTGGGTGTCGAAAGTTACAACTTCATAATTTCCTAGTATTTACTATTTGACCCTTTCTATTACTAAAAAACTTCATAATTTTCTTGTATGGTCATAGCATTAAGGAATGTAATCAATTGTCTTTTCAAATTTTTTAGCTTTTATTTTTTATTTTTCAAGTTTTTGACAATATAATTTTCCCTAATATTTTAGATACTTGAATTAAACTACTTGAATCTTCATATCTCTTAATAATACTTTTGACGATAAGAACCAAGGTAGTGCATTGAAACACCTGGCTAATATTATATTAACTTAAAAGAATTCTTACAAATATAAATAATTACAGGTTTGCTTTCAAGCATTCCAAGTGCTATAGGCCTACAAGTTTCAACCTAATGAGTAATTGTTTAATAAATAAGCAAATTTAACCATAAATCATTCCGTGACAACAAGGGAGCAATATATAGTACATATTACTCAATACATTCTCGAGACAGTTGACAACAATAGAGAGAAGAAGATGATGGTCTGGGAATGCGAAAAGGTGTAGAATAAGTGAAATTCAAAAGCAGATTAAAAATGAATGAGAAGAAGAGGTTGATGAAGAACGAGAACAAGAGATAAATTTTGAGTTTACTGATTTTGTTAGTGATTATTGAAGATGGTTTATGTCACACCCTTTTTACTACCCCCAAAAGGACATGAGGTTAAAGAGTTTTTTCAATTAAAGTGACAAACTTGAATAGGGATTATTTTATTTACAGAGTCGCCACTTGCAATTGATTTTTTGGGTGTTCCAAGTCACCTTTTATTTGAATCTCTAGTCAAAAGAAGATTTGACTCTTTTATTATTGATCTGCAAAACAAAATCCGGGTAAGGAATTCTGTTGACCGGGGAGAAGGTGTAAGGCATTCCCCGAGTCCCGTGGTTCTAGCACGGTCGCTTTATTGACTAAAATTAGCTTGAATTAATTTTGGACAAACTGTGATTTATTGGTTTCCATGTTTTATCTATGTCCGCTTTTATTATTAAAATATAAAATTATCTTTGAAACAAATCGCGTGTGTGAATTTATTTTATTTATTGTGCCAAAATCATGTCACGAGTACGTGTACACAACTAATAACACTTTATTAATTATTAAGATTGTTTTGTCAAAATTGCGTGAATGCATACCTTGATTTATTTTGAGAATCATAATCATGTCACGCGAACATGTACATAATCATGACAATAAATTATGAGCACGCCTAAAGCTACTACGCATGTTGAGTTATTCCCAAATTAAAACATTTAATCATTAAAAGTCTATCACTTTTCAATTCTATAGTCACTAATGTTCATTCAAAAAACCAATTCTAACTTTATTCTAAATCAAGCATAAAAACAATTCTTAAAGAGAGAAGTCTTTTGGCCCAAGAATCTAAAATCGCCTTTTTCTAAATATCACTTCTTTTGTCATCAAAATTTTCTATCTTCCTTTCAAGTTATTAAACAAACAGAAGCAATTCGATTATTCGAATATCCCATGTCCAACTCCAAATAAATAACTGTGAGCTCATTTAGTAACTTAACTTATTTTATGAGACAAATCGTATTCAACAATCAGTAATCTTTAAGGCATGCTAACACACATTAATATATGGCAACATTCAAAGATTTTCAAACAGAACAAGAAAACACTTTTATAAAATATTCATCCACTAATAGAATAGTATAAAAATAAAAGTAATTAAGGAACTGGACCTTTTGTGAAGCCAAAATTGATTTTCCAATTGATTAATAACGAAAACTCCTTCAACAAAGTTGTACAATAGAGACAAGTGTCGGACAAGAGCTTCGAGCTAATGAATCCAACCGACCGGACAAGGCGGCGACCAAAATGAGCAGCAAACAAGCTCAACCAACATGAACCTTCAGCCGAAAAACTCCCACGTCAACCTCGACGAACTCGATCCCTTCACTGACCCGTAGAGAGTGTTGTGAGGGAGGACACACTGAGATTTCATGATATTTTGGACTGGTTTCGGAACTGGGGTTTCATGGCTGCATTTTCAGCTGTTTTTGGGCTGAGGAGGGCAAGTTTTGGACTGTTTTTGCTATGGATTTTCAGCTGATCTTCGGTGATGTTTTTAATGGAGTTTGGGACCGTTTTAAGAATAAAATGGGGAGAGTTACAACTGCTGAATTTTGCTAGCTTTGCTGTTGTATTTTTCTTTGAAGAAAATATTGTAATGCTAGAGTTCTAAAGTTTAGATCTATGGAGTAAATAGCAGCTTATTGTTTGGAGCTTGTGAGGTATTTTTTTTCCAGCACCCCCCATATGAAGGTGTGGTCCGT